GAGATGGTGGGCTGTTTGTGAATCTTAGGAGGATAACAGTGAGCCTGTTTTGAACTCACTTAATTTCAATTTTAATAATCGCTTAATTTCTTAGCAAAACACAAATAACAAGGTGATTACTGGCAAATGCTGTCATACACAGGCACAGTCTTTACTGTATTTTTAGTCTGGCTCTTCTTCACATTTAGAGGAGAAGATAAGATATTTCAGGAGGAGAATGCCATTCTGCCGTACAGATTTAATCTGCTGGGAGGGGTTTTTCCTATTTATCTCTGTATTCCTTATATGCTTTTGCATGTCAAGTCCCTTTGGCTAGTGAATCTGCAAACAAACAAAGGCTTCCAGCTGAAGGGAGCCCTTCCTGAGTGCTTTGCCTAAGTGGTGTTTTCATCCCAGCTGTCACAGGGTGCAGGTGCCAAAGTCTGTTGTGACAAATCACAGCTCTGAAGGTAGATTAGCAGACATTTATCATCTTCCCTTGCGACAAAGAAAACGCAAATGCACCTTAGCTCATTATTGCCTTCCCTCAATTCTACTCTCCTGATGTGTGCATTATTTAAATCTCCTTTTTGTCCTGCCCCCTCACCCCACCTCATGATTTCACAGAACAAACAATAACAGAAAGTGTTTAGAAAAACGTTATGAAAACATGGCTTTCAGTTTGGCTGTTTTCTCTGAGGTCAGAACCTTCTTTTGCTGAAAGGTGGGATTAGATCAGTTCATTATTTCTGTATGTCATTTTCCCCCTGAATCATCACTGTTGGTCTCTTTGAATCTAAAATCAGAAAAATTTGCATCAAAAGGGTGCATAAGGAATCACCCTTTGTGAATAAATACCAGTAGCAGTATGACTCCTTTTCTGAAGTAACAGAGCCGAGCAAACGTGACCTACCACACACAACACACGCCATACGCAAAGCGAGCGGGAGCTGACCTGCGGAGCTGCTGGCTGTCGCTAGACAGTAAGTGCAACCGCAGGGAATAGGAACTGAACAGTGGA